TCGATTTTTCCGCGAAGCTCTAGCTCGATCAGGGGCCAAACGGCAAGGGGGGGGTCCAACCGACCCCCCCCCCCCCCCTACACATTAGAAGCTGGAAAACGCCGCACACATGCGAGGGTTAAGACGTTTCCATGAGTTTTGAAGGTATGGATAAGTTCTAAAAATCCGGTTCTCCTTATCTGGGCCATTAACTCCATACGGTCCAGGAAAGCTGGCACTACCTTTAAAAATTGGCCAAGTTTGATCGGCCAATGGGATGCAATGATGGCGCGCCCAAAAGTTTGCCCATGAGCACTGACGACCTCTTTCATGTGGTACAAAAGGGTGGTCGTTATTTGTCCCTAGGCCGCACGTGGCACGTGGCACGTGGCACCCCACCTCGAGTGACCACGTGCACTCTCAATGTAAGGCGTTTTGGCCATAACTTTGCCTTTTATGGGCCGATTTAGACGAAACTTGTAACATTGATGCATTAAAATGACCTGCGGCACATACGGCGCAACGAATACAACAAAATGTGCGTCGTTTTTGTCTCTAGTGCGCTACTTTAGCTAAAGTGGCTAAAGTTTAGGAATATTACGTCTGTATATTTCGACTGGCCGATTTCTTCGAAACTTGCAACGGTAGTGCACAAAACCAGGGTGCGCCACATATGAATCGAGGCATAAAATAGGCTGTTGTGCGCCATTATTGTCTCTATTGCGCCATTAACACGCGCACCGACGGGGGGAGGCGAATATCGGCCCCCCTTGAGGTTTTTAGCGAATAGCGGGAAAACCGCGGCGCGTAGCGCCGCGAAATTTGGTACGGCTATTCTCTCATCAATTTTACACATGGTTTGCAAGTTTGAACCTCCTAACTTTTAACCCTCGCCCCGTGGGGGGGGGCATTTTGGCCCCCCCACTGTGGTAGCGCCGCCAAATTTTCAGTACCTTCCCGGGCATCAATTAGACAACTTCACACCAAATTTCAAGTCTTAGGTCACCTTAGGTCAGGAGTTATCCCTCGCGGGCCCGGGGGGGGGGGGCGTTTTTCGCCCCCCTGGCGAATATTTGCGATAACTCCCGAACGCTTAGGGATAGGAAGGCGAAACTTTCAGTACATTTTCTCCCAACAATTTGACATCTTCTGAAGTAAAAAATTTGGACCTAGCCCCCTTGATGACGTCACAAGGTCCATTTTTCTAGACCCCTGCACGGCAAACTTCGGCGTCACAGACGCAAACTTCAAATAGCTGCTAAAAATAGAGTTTTAGAGATAAAGACAAATTACGAGCACAGCTGTGTAGCGTTTGACCTAGAAAAAAATAGAAAAAATAGTTTTGGTGACCTGAGGTCAGAGGTCAGGTCAACGACCCCGAAATGTGGTTTTAGTTTTTCGCAAATAATTTCGACAAAAATGGTCCTAGAGCTACGGCAGTGGTACCATCGCATTCGCCTCGTCAAGCCGCGTCGAATGATATATATTTTGTTCGGAAAAGGTCAAGTTTCATGTTGACCTCATGTGACCTCGAATTACCTCTGGTTGACCTTGACACATGAAAGGTCGTTTATGATGGATTTGTACCCGCTGATCACGAATCTGGCATCTATTTTCCTCTAAGCCTTCATTTAGAGCTTCCGGATGGCAAAATTGTCTTATTTATTATTACTAACTTGAATCAGTGAAATAGCCTCTAGCAGGGATACTCTTCTGTGACCTTGACCTTTGAGCAGCCTTGTATCGTAAGATGAACCACAAATAGGGAACTGATAAGCCTCCAAACATTTCAAAACATCTTGGAACTTAGCACGCAAGATGTGCTAAAAAGTGCCAAGTTTGAGGTCAATTTTGAGCGTGACCTTGACCTTGACCTTTAATTTAGAGCACATTTTCAGAATCCTTAGATTCTCTTCTTTCGTTTGACACCCAATTTTTTTTTCGGTTTGATGCAGCCTGCCGTCCTCTAGAAGGCTTAATTTGAGATCACTACACATGTGCCGGTTTTGGCCTTTGACCTTGACCTCTGACCTTGAAAATTGACCTGAGGTCAAAAATTTTAGGTGCATTAGAATCGTCTCGTAAGGACCTTTCGTTTGGTATCGCTTTTGTTTCCGTAGCTCCCTTATTTACGGAGTTAGACAGGGGGGGGCGAAAACGCCCCCTCCCCGGGCTGCGGTGGTTGGGATTACCCCCCGGGCCCGGCCGGGTTATTGAGGTCAAACTGAGGTCATGTTCGAGCAAAAATGAGCAAAAAACATGCAATCTTGAAACGCTCACCAAATCTACAGTTATCAAGCAATTTCAAAGTTCTTTTGATGGTCTAGTGCACAAAAAGCGGCGCTACAAAACTGCTATCTCGGATTTTCAAAATTTTAAGTTTTTGACCCAAAAAAATTTAAAAATTGATTTTTTTTAGAAAAACAAAAAAAAAAATCCAAAATTTTCCGAATTTAGAAAAAAACGGAAAATATGTAATAGTCCCTGCGCTCTTCTATATACATACCAAATTTCAGATCGATATCTCGTTTTTTGGCCAAGTTATAGCGAAAAACTGTTCAAAAATGATGACGTCAAATTTTCGAACTCAATTTTTAGCGATTCTAGACGACGTACGGCAAAACAAAGACCACCATTGAACTCCCCGTGACGAGCTGCATCGATTCAATACCCATTTATGGAAAAATTATTAACTTTGAAATTTGACCTAATTTGACCTGACCTTGACCTGACCTTGACCTGACCTTGACCTGACCTTGACCAAAACGTGACCTAAGCTGGCCCCAAAGGCTGCCTGACCCACATAATCGCATTTGCCATGTAAAATGGGCCATAAAACATGTATCACACGACACTTTCATATTGTGACCCCCAGTGACCTGACCTCTGTGACCTGACCTGGTATCAGTGACCTCAAATAGCAAAATATGTGTTTGAAGAATATTTCCCCATCGATGATTTTCAATAAAATGCATTTTACTCGATTTTATAACGCATTTCTTGAAATGCCTGTAAACGGTGAAAATTCGACCTTTGACCTGACCTGTGACGTCATCGGTTTGACCTGGTTCAATAAAATTGGGTCACAAGGTAGTTCCCTGATAGGGCTATCCAACACCGTTTGCCGTTTGTCGCTAGGCTGCGTGGTTCTCGAGATCTTAGGGGGGGCCAAAATGCCCCCCAACGGGGCGCGTTGCTTGGCAGAGCCCAACGGGGCGCGGGTTAAGGTCAGGTCACCAGGTCACATTGAATGACCCAACCTCAAGTCGCTTTTTTGCAACTTTGTCACCGTGCCAGAGCTACAGTAGATGTCGGAGGCCTTTGAAGGTCGCAGGATGTTATTAGGTAAAGTAGTAGCTACAATTTTTTTATCTCGGAATTTTGATATCGGTGACCTAAGGTCAGTCAGGTCAATTTCTCGACCTCCCCATTATAAGTCAATGGGGGAAAAATCAACTCCCTGTTTTTACCACTAAAACGGGTCGGAATGGCCCCATATACCATACATGACTTCATATACGATCAAGCGACACTACCTTGAGGTCTGTTTTGCTGTTGGGCAGCTGTAAGATCATGTGACGTCATCAAAGGTCACCAAAGGTTTTTTGCCAATAACTCCGTACAGGAACAAGATACAGCCGCGCAGATGGTCTCATTGTGTTCAGCTGGTCAAGACGCATCAAATGATATACATGATGACCTCGAGGTCACGTGACCTGAGGTCAACCTTTGACCTTGACCTTTCGAGGTCAACGTATATATCATTCGATGCGGATTGACGAGAGGATCACGATGGTGTCCTTCGATTGTTCCTATCTTGACTATTTCGAAAGTTATTCGAGAAAAACTCTCTCCATATCTAGCGCCGCCATTTTGACTTTTTGACCCCTGTGACGTCATCTCTGACATGACCTGAAAATGACCTCAGTAAAAATTGTAGAGCATTTTTAAAAAATGTAGACAGGCGGTCATCCGCCCCCCCCCCCCTGTGTTGGTACGAAGTTGGCGCAGACCCCCGTCGGTGCGCGGGTTAAGTGCCTAAATGGGCTAAAATTAAGGAATCTTTTATCAGTTTCATGTATTAATAAATTATTGTCAGGTACGCATATACATACATGTAAAGCCTCGCGTCACTTTGGTCTTAATTGCGTTGGCGTTTCGGGCGTGCGTTTTGCGCGCGTTGTTTGCGTTTTGCGGCGGACGGGCGTTTTTGCTGTGTTTGTGCTTAGCGGCGGCCGGGCGGTTGATGCGGGCGTTTTTGCGTCCTTTTCTATGTGAAGTTTGTTTTCTGTTTGCGGCGGCCGGGCGTTTTTTTGCTGTGTTTGCGTTTGGGGGCTGGCGGGCGATTTTTAGGCGTTTTCGGTTGGTGGTTAGCGTGCGTGCGATGCGGGCGGTTTATTTTTTGCGGCGTTTTTTGCGGTTTGCGTGGGCGATTTTTTTTCGACGTATGCGTTGGCGTTTCGGGCGTGCGTTTTGCACGTTTTGCGGTGTTTGCGTTCTGCGGCGGAAGGGTATTTTGTGCTTTTTGCAGTGTTTGTGTTTGGCGGCGGGCGTGCGGGCGATGCGGGCGTTTTTTTTTGCGTCGTTTGCGGTGTTCAATTTGTTGGCGGTTGCTGGCGGTTGGGCGCTTTATAGGCGTTTTCAGTTGGCGGTTAGCGTGCGTGCGATGCGGGTGGTTTTGCGTTTTTTTGCGGTTCGCGGCTGGCGGGCATTTATTTGTTCTTTCTTGCGATATTTGCGTTGGCGTTTCCGGCGAGCGTTTTGCACGTTTTGCGGTGTTGGCGTTTTGCGGCGGGCGGACGTTTTTCGCAATTCAAAGTCCCAACCTTCGGGCCGCAGCGCTGCTCGAAAAGCGCTGCCCTCGAGTACAGTGGCTAATGTTTGTGTAGCATGTAGGTAGCATGGCACATATATGTCGGCTGAATAGTTATCATTGAAGCTGATACGTTATGTGCTATGTTTCACCATTCACCAATCACCATTCAGAAGTAATAGTACGCGTTTCCTCAACTATTTCTCACCGGCAACGTATAGCGTCCTCAAGGTCGGCGGCAGCAGCTGCAGCCACCGCCCCGTTCCGAAGGACGGCACCCTGACGGTCAGCTCCTCCAAGCGGGGAAGACTCTGCAGGAGCGCCGTCAGCTGATCCTCGCCAAGGGCTGACGGAGCGTCGAGCCTCGTCATGGTTACAAGGCCGAGCGCCTCTCTAAGCGTTTTAAATACACTGGCGACCGATGGCTGGGGCTCCGTCTGTACTATGACGTCACTGACTGCCGATGATTGGGGCTCCGTCTGTACTATGACGTCATTGGCCATTTTTCTAGCTCTACTGAAAACAAGAACAGAAGTCGATAAATCTACTGATCAGGCATAACAATTCCGCATTTATTGTCGGCTCATTTGATATTTCGATATACATTTCCATATCATTGTCGTCAGTCATGGTATCGTCAAATCTACTCGGTTGCATAAAATCGTTCAAAGTTGATTTGATACGACTCTGAACGATTTGATACGACCGATTAGATTTTGTGACACGATTGCTGATGAAGACATGTAAATACGTGCGGGATATAATGCCCCAAACTAACCAACTGTATACAGATTGCAGGACGTCTGTCGAAAACTGGAACAATACGATCGAGACTAAACCGCTGACTTGCAAAAGATAGTACGAATTCAAGACATGTTTCTTTGATTGCGCGGAAATTACAAGAACAAGTTACTCGACCTTCAAAGACCTGGTGATGTTTTATTTCTTACACCTTCTACAAAGAAAGTTTACTTCTCACCATGACAGCTCTCCGAAATCTCTCAGCCCCCACAGCCACCCCTGCTGCCTCTCAGTCTCACCCCTGGGGACGGCCGGATGGCGCCACTCGCCGGCGGACCTCCTGCCGCAGCTCCTCCACCACGGTCTGGCGAGTGGTCCGCTCTTCGATAACTGCCTGCTCCAGGCGGACCACCGCACCGGCCACCACTTTGCTCAGTGAGGCCATCTCCCGGCGAAGGGCGGCCAGGTCTTCACGCACATCTGTCATCTCCATCTGGAATGCAGAATTACAGTTTTTTTTCGTTTCTACTCATCATATAAAGGTGACATGGTGCGTAGTGTTACGTGGCACGCATTACGTCATGTCTTGCAGCTTTGTGTCTAATCACGTCACAAAACGACATGTCGTATCGTATTACGACATGTTTTGTCATGCAACCCGCATTGTTGCATATCAGGCAAACAAGCTTGGCAGGCAGGCAGACAGGTCTTAGGTAACAATGCAGAAATTTACGATCGTTTCTAGTGTTTTGCAAAAAAAAGAGATAATAAAGAAACGTTATTACTACGTATGTTTACCCTTGGCCGGGCATTTTTCATAACGCGGACGGTGAGGGTAGAGGGGCTGGTACGACCCCTGGCGATTACCTCCTAATGCACTTAGAAACACCAGCTGTATAGGGTGTTTAGGATGGATAGGATGTATAGGATACAGACAGTCACACAGCAGGACTGACACAGTCACACAGCAGTACCTCGGCTAAGGAATTTCGACTGGGGAGATGGGGACAAACCCGACTCCACAATGTCATATTATACCACCTAATATACACCGTATAAGCGGACCTTTACACCACACCTAACATACATACCATATACCGTAGGTAAAGGTATACCAAAATCCTGCCTAATCAGTTATGCATACCTAAACATGTCTAAACAAACTTCTACCAAAGGTTTGGAGGCCAGCGTAGGGCCCTCAGAAGCCGAAGTCGAGCCGTCGGAGGCTAGCATGGTCATTTAGAGTCCGCTTTGGGACCTTCGTGGGGCCCAAAGAAGTCAGTGCGTAGCCCTTTTAGACCAGCGTGGGGTAATATAAGGGCAGCGTGGGTTCCTCTAAGACGAGCGGCGTGGGGTCTTCTGAGGCCAGATTGGGGCCCACTGGGAACAGCTCAGCTTGGGGCTATCTAAGGACAATGTAGGTCACTAGGCCCTCTTAGGTTAACGTGGGACCCTCTGTCTTCTGATTTCTAAGGCTGGCGCTGGGCCCTCGGAGGCTGGCGTTGGGACATCAGAGGCCACCTAGAGGGCCTCGACGGTCAGACTGTAGCTCTTATGCATGTTTAACCCACGAGCCGCTGGGGGGCATAAAATTGCCCCCCCCCCTTTACGTTCTGTGGAATATCTCCGAAACCTGATAAGCTACTAATGTGAAACTCAACGTAGTTTCAAATGACTACCTAGGCAATGTTTGAGCAAATTCTGGTGGTTGTAGCACTTAAGATGACGTCACAGTGACTCATAAGATATTGTCGTTTTCCGATACGGACCGTTTCTGATGTCGCTGAGCATGAAACTCAACTGTAAATGAACTAGACAGCACCTGCTCTCATCCTGAAACACCTAAGTACACTTCCATCTAGTTCCTGACCAATAATCGACCCTTTATATACGGTCCCATATTTCTGATATATCGTGAGGAAACTGAGAGTCGCAAATCTATAATTTTACTTATGACGTCACTGTGACGTCATTTCAGATGAGATCGACACCAAATTTGGACACAACCTCGGCTAGGTATTCAGGAAGATATGTGCTTCTCTATCTCGTCGCGTTGCAATGATATCGTCGCAGAAGTAAAGGGGGCAGCTATATGCCCCCCCCCCCCAACAGTGGCCGGCGGGTGGCGCGGAGGCCCAGTGGCCGCCGGGTCCTTTAAACATGGATTACACGACACTTTCATATTGTGGTCCTCAGTGACCTGACCTCTGTTACCTGACCTGGTATCAGTGTCCTAAAATCGCAAAATATGTGTTTGACGCGCAATTCTTGCGCCCCTTCGGGGCGAGGGCCTTCGCCACAGTGGGGGTGCATGGCCCCGCGAGTTGCTGGGGGGGGGCGTTAAACGCCCCCACTTTTTTCGCCGGGCCATAGCATAAAAACGGCGCGCCGCAGGCGCGCCAAATTTTGGGTACCTGTAGGGAATTGATTGAAGTTTATTGTGACAAAGTTTCAAAAAAATCGGTCATAAAATTTTTGAGATATCGAGGTTTTAGTGACGTCATGATTTCTGAGTTTTCGACCAAAAACGGCATATGTTCAAAAAATCATATAAAATCACAGAATAGACATACAGACATGCCGTAAACGCCATTAGACTGCCAATACCATTATCAATCAAATGGCTATCTTCGATTATTGATTATCGTTCCGCATTTTCCATAATTTTGAACTGAATCTTGGCAATTTTTCGTGACTACTTCACGACCATGATACATGAATTTCTTAAATTGAACTTTTTGAGCCAAACACGTACACATATGATAAAATGAATGTCACCATCGTGTTCTACGCCCCAAATTACCTATAAAACATGTGTCACAGGCTGCGAATATCAGTTTTGATTTTCGGGGATATGTGCCTACCCGGTTGACCTGACCTTGACCCTGACCTATGCTTGACTGACCCCTACATGGAGCTGACACTCTTGTAGGCCTTATAAGATGGATTGTGCACCGTTTTGACAGAGTTTATGGCGAGAGGCGCCCATTGCGAAGTCCTGAAGTCCATGCTACTGAAAGCCCGATTTTAGGTGTTTGACCTGACCTTGACCCGACCCGTGACATCAAAATTCAACTTTAAAGTACTCATCTGAAGCGTCTCGTCGCGCTCTTTCGTTTGCCGCCTCGTGCGTTTCGCTGCGCCTATTGGTTCTCGAGTTATCGGCTGGGGGCGTTTAACGCCCCCCCCCCAGCAAACGGTGGGTGGCGAAATACCCCAGCAACTGCCGGGCTAGTGCATATGTTACCACCCTTTCGCGTTTTTTGCGTGTGAATAAAAAAACCGCGGCGCGTAGCGCCGCGCCGCTTAGGGTAGCTTTTAGTACATCAATTTTGAACAATGTGTGAAATTTTTGACCCCAGGTCATGTCAGGTCAGGTCACCAGGTCAAGTTCTAAAAAAAGTTTGCAATCATGTCCAGCCTGCAGTGTTTGTCAGAAAGGTTTTAACCCTATTCCTGGCGGAGGGGGGGGGGCCTCAGGAGCCCCCCCTGAGGTTTTTTGGTTATTTCTCCCAAACGCTTTGAGCTAGGAAGCTCAAATTTTCTGACTTTTCCTAAAAGGCTTTTACGCAACATTTCTGAAAATTCTGAGTTGATCTGACCTCAGGTCAGGTCACCAGAGGCGGTTTGGTGACCCTACCTGAGAAAAGTTTGCAATCACGCCAGAACTAGAGTTTTTGACCGATCAATTTCTTCTCTTCAGGCTGTAGTTAGGGTACCAGTATGTGCAATTTGTTTATCTCAGAATTTTCATATCTGTGACCTGAGGTCAGGCCAGACTCGTGACCTTTACATTGCAAGCCTATGGGAAAATATTGAAACGACTCCTGCTTCGTGTAACCGAGTCAAAACCACCCAATTCTTTCAGTATTATGGAAGATTATCTCATCGGTGATGATCCTGGTGCCGCTAATTGACAGGGGCACCGGCAAAGGTCATCTGAGGTCATGTGACGTCATAAATCGTTTTTCTGTCAATAAATCACGACATGATGGTGCAAAAGACTTGTAAGTGGTACCAAACTGCTCGCCTGGTCAAGGCGCGTCGTTTGGTATGCAGCATGACCATAACCCACAACCTCATTGATGAATGACCTGACCTTGACCTCAGGTCAAATTTCAAATTGACCTGTGAAGGTCATCACATACTTATTTCGCATCGCCTCGGCGAGAGCAACAAAAATGTATTGGTTTTATGTCTCTATGTTTCTTAGTTTAAAAGTTATATAGGTAACTAATTCCAAAACATTTTATCGTTGGTGACCTCTGGTGACCTCAATATTGACCTGACCTGAAAATGTTTTATGTAAAAGTTGTAGATCTTTAAACGACCTATCAAACGCCGTTCGCTGTTTGTCGCTGCGATGTGTAGTTTTTGAGATCTGAAGGGGGGCCGAATCGCCCCCCCCCCGCCAGTTTCTTGTCCCGGCGGAGCCCGCCAGGAATAGGGTTAAAGGGACTGTCCCACCTTAACATTAAAATTGAGTTGAGATAGCCATCTTGATGGGCGTTCTTTGAAAATCAGAGCCGTGAAAACCGTTTCTCCAGCAATTACTTCATCGCAAATAAAATTGTGTTTGATTTTGACATCTGTGCAAATAAGTGCCACAATGTATTGGTATTGGCACTTAACCCTATTCCTGGCGGGGGGGGGCCTCAGGAGCCCCCCCCTGAGGTTTTTTGGTTATTTCTCCCAAACGCGTTGAGCTAGGAAGCTCAAATTTTCTGACTTTTCCTATAAGGCTTCTACGCAACATGTCTGAAAATTTTGAGTTGATCTGACCTCAGGTCAGGTCACCAGAGGCGGTTTGGTGACCCTACCTCAGAAAAGTTTGCAATCACGCCAGAGCTAGAGTTTTTGACCGATCAATTTCTTCTCTTCAGGCTTTAGTTAGGGTACCAGTATGTGCAATTTGTATATCTCGGAATTTTGATATCGGTGACCTAAGGTCAGGTCAGTTTCGCGACCTCCCCATTATAAGTCAATGGGGGAAAAATCAACTCCCTGTTTTTACCACTAAAACGGGTCGGAATGGCCCCATATACCATACATGACTTCATATACGATCAACCTTCACTACCTTGAGGTCTGTTTTGCTGTTGGGCAGCTGTGAGGTCATGTGACGTCATCAAAGGTCACCAAAGGTTTTTGGCCAATAACTCCGTACAGGAACAAGATACAGACGCGTGGATGGTCTCATTGTGTTCAGCTCGTCAAGACGCATCGAATGATATACATGATGACCTCGAGGTCACGTGACCTGAGGTCAACCTTTGACCTTGACCTTTCGAGGTCAACATATATATCATTCGATGCGGATTGACGAGAGGATCACGATGATGCCCTTACTTTGTTCCTATCTTGACTAATTCGAAAGTTATTCGAGAAAAACTCTCTCCATATCTAGCGCCGCCATTTTGACTTTTTCGACCCCTGTGACGTCATCTTTGACCTGACCTGAAAATGACCTTTGTAAAAATTGTAGACCTTGTC